TAGGGTACTAAAATATTTATTTTGATGAAAAAAGCTAAATATCGCCACCTAAAATGCAAAATAACATAAAATCACTTTTCATAAGTTCATAGGCGAAGAAAAAACGATATAATAAAAGCCACTCATATTACAACAAAAATTGTCTTTTAACTATAGACTGGTTATATCTGATAGCGGGAGCTGAAAAACCTCATTTTAGGTTTTTTTTTAATGATAATTTGTTTTGTATTTCAGGTGAGGATATGTAAATTGAAATTGATTTAATAGTAATTTCCAAATAAATCCGAAAGTTGTTTGCGTTCGAACATTCCGATTTTAGAAACTAAGAATCGCGTGTATATGTAAACTCTTTTGTACAAAAAAAATTTCCAACAGTTATCATTCACCCAAAAATATGTTTTTTTGATGAAAATTTGCTATTTCATTCCAAAAATCTACAATATCAACTTCAGTCAGAGAATGAGCATCTTGTTGGGACCTTCTATATTCAGCTCACGAGCTAAAAGGGCTATTAACGCGAATTTCAAAACCTCGGTTTTAAAAGCTCGACGAGAAAGCTATTGCAACTGCAAACGAATTCYTTGTCTTTACTAGCGTAGACACCRCTTACSCTGTTAYAGCCGAGCTACCAAGTGCACTCAAGTCCTTCTCCATCTGATCTCTCCAACAGAGTGATGGTCTTCCTCTTCTTTTCTTAATTCGCTGAACTACGTCACTGTCGTCGTATAACGCATACAGCTCATCGTTCCATYGAATGCGATGATAAATCTYCGGCAGAACYTTTCTCTTKAAAACTCGTACCGTCGACTCATCAGATGTTGTCATCGYCCATGCYACTGCACCACATAGCAAGACGGGMATAATAAGCGACTTTAGATGTATATATGAACGAACATGGCTAAACTGACTCATATATATAATTACAAACTTCGTAGCAGACTAAGTATTGGGCTGATCAGAGTTAAACAAAAAAAAATAAAAATAAAAAAAAGTAAAAATAAAAAAAGTTAGGTGATGTCGTCATGATCTTAACAGCGTACTTAGCCGAAGAAGCCGAGGASACCCTTCGATTTTTTTCGAAACCTTTAAACACCCCTAATGTACTCATGAAGTGGCAAAGTCATATGTGTTTAGCTAATTTTCCAATTTAATTCACTTCCAATTCAGATTTTAAATGCATAAAATTTTTAGAAAGAGACAGCAACATAATTGTACCGTCTCTATATACCCAAATCGTCGCATGCGGGTGTATTAATATCTCTCAATTTTAGTAAAAGCTAATGCACACCTTAAAACAACGCTCAACTAATTGACGAAAATAAAAAGCATATATTAAGTGCAACAACAACAAAACAAAAACAAAAGAAACACAATTACATAATTAAACATTGAATGACTTGGGAGGCATTCGACTGCCGCAAATACCATGACCCATGATGGAGCTGCCATTGTTGTCATTACCGTCACTTGCTTAGCCGCTATCCATGTGCAGGCCTAACTGATGCTTAGTACGCGCATACACACAGCCACACAGACAGGTGCAATGACATCGCGCGACAGATGCGCCAAACTGGGCAAATGCCAAACAAGAAAGACATAAATTATGACAAAAAAGTGGCCGCGGAGAAAAAATGTCAATAACAGCTATACAACAACAACAACAAGTGACTACAAAACGGGTACATACCATATATTAGTGAGGTAGATAATCAGACACAGGGCAAAAAGCTGGAAAAACTATTGGCGTTTGTAAACTGACAAGTAAAGTACAAATSTATATGTACGAGTATGTGTGTGTGAACACATTACTGCCTTTTTATGTCTGTCTATATATATGCGTGGCAAAGCTAGTAAAATTAAGTGCCGTTTTGATTGCTTTGCATCTTGTAAAAGATAAAAGAGAGATGCTTGCGTAATAGCTTTGAACCGTTTTGTCTCTAACGGTGAAATTTTAACGATACTTAGTCTGAACGGGTGCTTTAAAAATATTTTACGCATGTTAAGCTGGTAATGAGGCGCACATATGGAGACTAAGGAAACCAAAACAAGTAAAGGAGTAAAGGGAGTTGGTGGGACTTAAAATCTTAGCGACCTAATCTCRTACGTTCCCACAAATATTTACTTTGGCTGCGTTCATGCCAGAATACCATTCACACACACAGAAGTTTCGATACAAGARCTGTATTTTGATCGCTCAATTTGTAYRGCAGCTTTATGCTATAATATTTCAAAAACTGAGAGGCCGACAAACGCGCAAAGGTGAATAAACTCAGCTTGTAACATTGAACAAAAAATAGTAAGACTTTGTTCATAACTTTAAMACTCTCAATTTATTGTTAAAAATTTATGTCATCCCATCAAAATAATACCAAAAACGGTTTCCCCGGAGCGGTCATTTSAATTTGCTGAATAGCTAGAAGTCACACGGAGCGCAATCAGGCGTATACSGTGGTTGCGGCACGTTATTCGTTGAAGATTGGCCGAAAAACTCATKAAGAATCAATATAGTATGCAACGGTGCATTATACTATTGGAGAAACCAAGAGTTGGCGGYCCATAGTTCCGGTCTYTTTTTACGAATAGCTTCGCAAAAACGACGCGTAACATTCAARTTGTATTCCCTGTTGTCAGTTTGCTTGGTCGGAGGAATTCGCAGGGCAGCACTCCTCGATAATCGAARARAACTGTCWACATAATTTTGCTTTTCGACCAGCTTTGATGTGGTTTTTTCGGCTTCGGCTCACCTTTGCAACGATATTCAGCCGATTGATCATCTGTTTCCGGGTCGTAAGCATAAATCGAATACTCAACGCCAATAATAATACGTTTCATGACATCCTGGTAGTCGGCAGGCATTGTTGCACAGATGTTTTTTTTTCGAAAAAAGATTAGCGATTTTGGAACCAATTACGCTTTAACTTTTCTTAAGCCCAAATGATGTTTGGTAATGGTTTTCACTGACCCTACCGATGTTTCCACGATGCCAGTAATATTATTGAGAGTTAACCGACGATGCTTAAGCACAGATTCCTTTAATTTATTTACTTTACATTTAATGGAACTTATTTGTTGTATAAGTTCGCTCATAGTAAAAATCGCCGAATGTAATTTATGTACTTCAGAAAGACAAGGCTTGCCACTAATGATTACTTTGATAAAACATTTGGCACAGACGGCACTGAGAGTCATATGAACTCTAAAAAAAATATTTCGTGCGAAATTTAAATTATAAAGTCTTACTATTTTTTTTGCCCAAGTTTTGAAAGTATAAAGAGTCCTTATAAAAATTGTATAACCGCTATTTTCAATGCTACCAGGATTTGTTTTAAATTTTTAATTTCAGTTTTACTATCGTGAATGGCTCAAAWGTCTAGTAAAAGAAAAAATTCCTTATTTCTTTAATTTCAAAAGCTATTGACTTAATATCAAATGAAATACTGTAGAGAAAGCAATACTCTCCAAAAATACTCTCCGAAGAGATAGCATAGTATATCATTGAATAGCCAATAGTCTCTAAACCTTAGTCAAATATACAAGTTTCTCCAAGGACTAGCCTTAGTCCAGTGGTTTTAGAAATTTGGGTATAAGTTTTGATATATTACTATAAGTGCTTAAATTGGATATTTCATCTACTTTTATATAACGCACCCTTTTCAATTTTATAAAACCAACACCAGTCTTAAAAAGATCATAGACCTAAGTTGCAATATTTTTAGGAAGCAGCTTAGGCTTCAAACGTTTATTTATTCAAACGGAGATATATCGATTTACGAACTATTTAACAGCCATTCGGATTATATCCATCATAAAATGAAGAAATATTTTAACTGAACCAAGGACAATTTAAGGATTGTATTAACAAAAAGCTGCATGCAGATATATATCCTATGCATTAGAGCGGGTCGAATATTTTACTGTAAAGTAACATATGCGGGAAATGTTCTACGGATTATTGTGAACAATTTTATCTTCTGTCTATAAATCTAAAACCGTTTCGAAACAGCGTTCCTTAAGGTGAAATTTAAGCATCTGAATAATCGGTTGTGTGGAAGGTATATGATATAGTTGCGTGATCTTGCTGATTCTGACAAATTATCAATGGAATATCAAAATATCGTTAATAGTCAATAGTCTCTAAAGGTAAAGTTTTTCAGAAAGATCCTTCCGAGAACATTTGTCGCATAGGTGATTTTATCGTCTTTTTGGCTTCCTATAAATGGACCCGATTTACTACACATGCTGAGACTCTCTATAAAGAAATTCCATAAATGCAACCATTTAATGGTTCAAATATAAGTTAACTAGTACAATAGAAATCTAAAAACTATTTTCTACCATGCTACTACTTACCCCTTACATCTAAAATAAACAGCTACAACCTCTTACCCCTACAGCTCATCTCACTTAAAAGCTTCAAAAAGCTGTCAATTCTTATTAACTCTCACCTTTCTCTACATTCCATTCAACAGCGTTGAGATGTTAACAAAACTGTCGTTAYCAGCTGTCATCTGTGTATTTTTATTAACCGCAACAATAGCAGCGGAAACAACAACGAATGCTACAACAAAGACAGTACCAACCGCAAGAGTGAATGATGCTGCCAACAGTACAACATCAGGGAACAGAGTAACAACAACAGCGGAAGTAACAACACAAGTCAATGGAAGTAAAAGTATGAGCAGAAGCAGAAGCCAAAAAGATGTGGGCACTACTCCGCTAAATGCGTCGAAATTTGGCAACAAAATCGGAGCCGTGTCGGAGGGTGTGCGCAGCGGTGAAACAACAACATCCCTACTGCCGCTACAACCACCTTTAAATGTGACAAGCACCACAACAAGCAATTTCCTCACACCAACGAGCGGCCACAGATCCGCCAGGCGTCAGCAGGAGAGCGCTGCGCCACCTCATTCCCAGACGCTTTCGCCGGCACAATTGCTTTTGTCTCCACCCACGAAGTTACAAACATCTTCAACTGCAGCTACAAATGCGAATGTGCGTGCCCCACCGGCTCGCGGCTTAAGACAGTCAAATGTCAAGGTGGAGAATGTTGTCAGAAATGACAGTAACACATTGCAACATGACAGCGAGAAAAAGGTAAGCATGGCATGATTGTTRAAGTGGAGAGGTACAATTTGCGAAGGGACTTTTGTGCTGGAGGTTTTGCGACCATATGTTCTTGTGTTCAAAGTGTTACTTAGTGGTAATTCTAGTGAACCCTCGTTTATGGTTTGTAGCATCAAAGAAATGAAAGTTTATATTTTTCAATTCAAAATCAAGAATATTATTGTCGTATACCTTACAGTGCTCACGAATAGTATAGAGCTTGAAAGAATGCCTAAGTAAGTTTCTGAGGGGATACTTTGGTATATCACAAGTTTGATCCATTGGCATTTAAATAGTTGGAAAAATGTTGAGCTACAAGGTCTTGTTGTTCCTTCAAAAATAACGTATTCTTAAGTCGAGTCGAGTTCCAACCTGCATATTTCCTTATCCTTCCACTAATTAATTAATTATAATAATGATATTTGAAAGTCACTAACATTATTCTGGTTCGACTTCGTAATATAAATTAATGGATCATTACATTAATCTACAAGATGATCTTGGAAACTATAAGCATTACAGACACTATCAACATCCAGTTAAGTAAGGTTAGGTTAATTTGGTAKGCCATTAAACYACGTATATAYSAGTTTGRCCCTTTGCGAWACCAGATGCATKTYAGTTGTTCAATCCAAGAGGAGTAGTCATCCTTTAGAATCCCTGCGCTTGACACGAGTTTTGGTAAGCTCTGTGGCCCCATTATCTCCAGTGTATCACACCGTGGGGACTCGCGATGCTCTCAGCGTATTCCGTCGGTGGTATGTTGCCACCATACAGTGACCAGTTAGTATTCTCATCATGTTTCTAAAGCCTCTTCTATCGAGTGCCAACATYAACTTTGTGTACTTCCGATCTACACATGACTTTTGGATGGGTTTCCCAATGATGATCACGTTTTCGGATATTAGTCGTACACCATTCTTGGGAATCTCGTATACTATTTCATTGCCTTTGATGTCTTTGTGGCCTAGCTCCCAGTAGAACTGAAGTTGCTTGTTTCTAAAAACTCTTTGYACTACCGTCCTKCTWCCCAAGACACATCTGGCCGATTTGCGATACGAGTTTGCCGCCTTGATTGTTGTTCGGCTGCTACTTAGATGCTGACTCTGAAACTATCTGCAGTTGCATTAGAGGGAGGCTTCGTGTCTTTCGCAACCTTTTTCCCTAACACTGGACAGTACATCCACGCACCAACTTCATCGTCCATTTTCGAGCCATTCGTATGGAAACACTCTGTTTGCACAGCCCCATTACCCACCGAGCTACGCCTGAAGGTTCTACGTGTAAATTCTTCTGCAGCCAGAGCTCGTCCCGCCGATTTTGCTGCGAAGTCTTTAGCGAAGAAGTCTATCGATGGCAGGTTTGGTAGTTAGTTGCAATGTGAACGGAAATAGCTCCTAAAGCACTGCTTTTTTTATCATGAGAAAATTATTAATCATGAAAATTCTCACAAGCATATAAGGTATAATTTTACTAACCTCATCAACTATTTTTCTCTTTCGCAGGATCTCCGAAAAGCAATTGAATTGATACCAGCACCAGTCGTTGAGATTTATRGCGAAAATGACACGAAAAGCTCGTAAGAAATCTATCAAAACTCTATCATATATTATAGATATCTTCCTAAAGTTCTCTTCATTCTTACCACAGCGAACCAAACACTCATTGGACTCTGCGTCAAAAGTCAAAGTCAAGCGAGTACATACATTTCGACATCAACGAAGAGGATGGTAGCATACATGCAATGGCGGCACCAACGCGAGCCACACGCGTGGAGACCGTGAATGAAGTGCTCTCTAACCTCTTTCCGAATGGTTTTACGGATATTTTCCGCTTCAGTTATGCCTCAGAACAACCGACACAAGCGAATATTGCAACACAAGACACAGAAGAAATGTCAAAGTCAGCATCTGTTGCAACACCGGAGACAACAACTGAGGCCAAGCTAACCACAGCGCCTAGTAGTACAACAACAACCGAAAAGCCATCAACGGAAAAACCAGAACAATCACACACAAAAGCTTTCTACAGCTACGAAACAAGTGTCTCAAAGGAATATCGACGCGAACTGCGTCCTGGACATACGGAGATTGTGGTGGAGAAGCTGCARCTGTTGCCGCGCGGCGCCAACGCCGGCAGTGACGAGTTCAGCGATGGCAGTAATCTAATAACCAAAGACGATTTGTTGCGGATCAATCGGGCGGCAGCAGATGCGCCCGTCTTACCAAGTTTGTTAATGAATCCCAGTCAWGAGAATGCTAACGGTACAGTAGAGCAGCAGTCAAAGAAGCAAACGCCAATCATTATACTGAGCGACGATAATAGCGCTGATATGGAGGGCATAAGTGCTGAAGACAATCTCATTGCTGAGTCTCAGAATGTGGGTCAACGTGTCTATCAGCGTTTGCCGCTTGATGACAAGCCATATGGTTACAAAGTGGGCGTGCACAGGCAGCGCTTACGACCCGACACTGAAGCAAACGTTAGACTTATACACGGCGAATCGCCAAATTTGTCAGACTCAATAAGCCAACAACCGATTTTTGTGCCCGAACCGGAGCCACCAGCCGGCGATGACAAGACTGAATTATTTGTGGAAGTTTCAAAGCATGAGGCGCCCAGCCAACAACTGGACAACTTCCAGGAGCATGCAGAACAAACTTTTCATCAACTGAGTCCAACACAAGAGGCGCCGTCACGTCAGTTTTTGCGGAATTTCAATCCGGTGTTGTCCCCGGGTGCGGCCCCCTCAACGCAGAAGGCTTCCTTCCATTACGAGTCGAATGCGCTACAGCCGATTATCTTTATACACGACGGAAATCAAGCCAGTAATCCGAGTGTGGGATCTGGTGTGGTTGCAGCAAAAGTTGAAAACGCGGCACAACTTCAAAAGCAATCCGCCACAGAGCTACCACGCCTGCCACTACTGCAATATGACAAGGATGCCGCGCAGATACGTTACTTAAAGGAGCAGCAGCTTTTACAACAGCAGCAGCAGTTACTGCAACAACAACAGCAAATTTTGCTTCAGCAACAACAACAAGAGCAACAACATCAGCAACATGCACACTTAATAAGCCAACAGCAGCAATTGCAGTGGCAAGAGAAGCAGCAACAACAACAAATACAGCAACAACAGCAACAACAACAACAGCAAGTACAGCACCAACAACAACAACTAACAGCTGATAAGCGACAACAAAAATTTGTTCAACCAACACCCCAATATGAACAACAACAACAGCAATTGCAACAGTTCCACAAAGAACTAAAACAACACCAACAACGTCAACAACCGATTCATCAGCATTATGCGATTTATCAGCAACATCCGCCTCCACATGAATATAAGAAAGGGAAGCAACAGCAACAGCAACAACAGAACGCTTATGGGCAACAGGAGCAACAACAAGCTGTAGAGTTGACACGACGACTGCAGCAACAGCAGGAAGAAGAGAAACTAAAAGTACAACAGCAACAGCAAATGCAAGAACAGCTAAGTATACAACAAGCACAACACGCAGCTCAAWGGCAAAATATTCAACAACACACGTCAACGCCACAGCAGCCTTACACACAGACTCAATCTCAACAACAACAATATGCCACACAGCCCTCGGCGCCAAGTCCAGCTTCTAAGCTGGAAACTCAAATTTCTGCTGATTCAGTAGCGGCTCCCGCCTCTTTCAATCAACAGTCCTATCAGTATCCTTTAGTCACTCCCTTGTCACACAAGGCTCCAGCCACACCCACGCCTCACAGTGTAGTCTTTGTTACGCTGCACGCGCCCACTCCGCCATCACAGTTCGTTAAAGCCCAAACCTCGCCACCCACCTACACTCAGAAATCACGACATGAGTACGTCTCGGCAGCGGTTAATGGAGCTGCGACTTCGCAGCATCCCCCACATGTGTCACCTACACCACCGGCAATTGTACGACGTCCACATGGCGGCTATACATTTGTCGAAGTACAAAAATCAGTGAATATCCACAACAAACTGATCACTGAGAAAGATGGCAAGTTGGTTGAGGAACACGAAACAATTTATCCGCTGCCACAGTATACGTCACAACAATATCAGCAGCAGAAGCAACCCGGCATTATACAGTCGTCGTCCAAAATCGCAGCTATTATCCCGCCACAATCGCAACAAGCAACACAGCAGCCTGTGAAGCCCAGTGCCACAGAAGCACCTGCAAATCGAGCTGAGGTTCCGCACACTCACTATCCTATACAATATGCCCAACAACTAGCGCTGATTGAGGAGGGTATCCATCCAAATGACTACATTTTTGTACCCAAGGAGTATGCAACGCTCTCGGCCAATCCAATAAATGTTCAGCACATCGATGAGCCCGAACAGCAAGAGGAAGCTTCGTCTTACGCGCATCAACAACATGTTTTACCACTGTCAAACCATCAGCAATCCAACGAGCATAACCATGCCGGCTATGAAAGGGAACAACACCCACAAGAATACGTGCAATATGTACAGCAAAATTATGCTCAACCCGCCGAGCCGCAGCCAGATCCACATCCGGCGCAACAGCAAACGCAACACGCTACTAGCGAACCAAATACCCAAGAAATACACCCGCAAGCGCCGCCACAACCACATACCGAAGAACACCACCCAGCTGTGGAAAAGGAGGTTGTCGAGCAAGTGGTCACGCAACAGGTTGAGAAAATCGTTGAGCGTCCTGTACATATACCGTACCCTGTGCATGTACAGCAATACATTGATCGTCCATATCCCGTACAAGAGATAGTCGAAACGCATATACCCGTTCCATATCCGGTGCCCGAACCAGTTCCAGTACCTGTACATGTGGAACGCTATGTCGATCGTCCATATCCAGTTGAAAAGATCGTTGAAAAACGTATACCATATCCAGTCGAGAAAGTTGTCGAAAAGATTGTAGAGAAAGAAATACCAGTAGAAGTTGAAAAAGTAGTTGAGAAACTAGTAGATCGTCCAGTACCCATACCTATACGCGTGCCTGTCGCTGTACCGGTACCGTATGCACATCAGCCACTTCCTGAATATAATGAAAACGCCGAGATTTACGGCCCTTCCTACCATCCACATCCGAATGCGCTCGGCGGTTGGTCYGATCAGACTGTAATCGGCGATTACGGCGTCCGTGGTCCCACGAATCTGCAAATACCGTCGAAAGTTTTGCAAAACTACTATACACGCATGCTGAAGAAACTACTGCCACAAGCACTGGCGCAGCGTGGTACACCATCGTCTGAATCATCAACCTCGAACACTATTTATACACATACWCAGGCACGGCCTAAAAAACCAACAACAAGCGCAGCAAATTCCTTGAAGACCACAAAACAACCGAAATCTGTCACACCAAACAGTTCACCAAACAAGCAACACTCCTTCAAGATCGGCGATATACGCTTCGATTTGAAGCCACCACCGCCACCACCAACTGGACCCGAATGGTCGAAGGGTTCACGATATATTTATAACACCCTGCCGCATGATCTTCCCGTGGCGGATTCGTCTGACGCCGAACAGTTGGCGGACACTTATAACGGTCCCTTTGCATCACACAACGAGGCCTACGATGAGTTTCAACGCTGGCGCAATGGACACACCTTGAAGCGCAGTCCACAATTTGGCAGAAATTTACAAATGGAGTATGGTTTCAAGCCGCCACTGGTGCCCTCTGTGGAGATAAATGATCAAGGTATACCTTTAAATGCCGAAGAAAAGAAGACGGAGCAGTAAGTGAAAGTTAGTGTGCGAGAAAGCTGCTTTRACGAGGTTTTATACCAATTTATTTATATAAGCTGTCAATTAACATTAAATTTTTAAGTTTTATTTAATTACTTAGCTCGTTTAACTTATCTACTTTATTTAAATTCTGTGCCAAAATATCAAGTAAATAAGAGTTTCTTCAAGTATCGTTGGAAACACTCCTGTATCAAAAATGATAAACTAGTTGAAGATGTACGTGAAAGTTGACATGATCCGATGTATAACTGGGTTAATACCCAAAATTGTATTAATAAACTAATTCTTTATAAGTATTTATAGAGAAACTAAGAAGTTTATTACTTTAATAAAATCTTTCGAAACATCCACATTTTATATGATTCACTTTTAAAAAGGATCTGGAATTCAAGTCCAGACTTGAATAGATCCATCGAGAAGAAACATCTAAGAACGCATACAACTTCGGGTTTTAATTACAAACCTTTTCACTTGAGTTTTAGGAAACTTGGAAGAACTWGGTGCGCTAGTCGTTTCTCTTTTTAGCAATTTGGCGTCAATTCGAGATACCAAGAGCAGTCAGCTCCTTCCCCACCTGTTRTCCCCAGCAGAGTAGAGGTCTTCTTCTTCCTGCTTCCGCCTGCTTATAATGCTCGAATGCTTTCAGAGCTAGAGTGYTTTTATCCATACGGACGAYATGAACTAACCAGCGTAGCCGCTGTCTCTTAATTCGCTCCACTATGTCAATGAAAATTCCCAAAGGACCATAAATATTCTGCAAAACCTTTCTCTTCAACACTCCTAAGGCGAACTCATCAGATGTTGTCAKCATACATGACTCTGCACTATATAGCAGTACGGAAATAATGAGTGACTTAGGCAATGATATCGATGTCATTGGCGTACACCAGCAGTTATACACTCTTGCAGAAGGAATTATTTCCTCCTCGCCTTGTCTGAGATATAGTTTGGTATCGAATGGTTAATGGTTTTGCCTTTAACCCAACGTYAGTTTACCCAGCCGTATTAGTTTTGCGGKTTTTTTCGWGCTGCGTGCGTGTCGRTTCTCTTTTTAGGTGTTCTTTCCAGGATTTTGYGCATGGTCAGTTGTTGATTTTCCATGCGTAAAGTCACACTGATAWGGTCAGATCAATTTGTTGAAKKTGATYATTWTTTTTTTTTTTTTCGAGAGAAAAATTCTGCGAAAGATTTATGGTCCTTTGCGCGTTGGCCACGGCGAATATCGCATTCGATGGAACGATGAGCTGTACGAGATATACGACGACATTGAAATAGTTCAGCGAATTAAAAGACAGCGGCTACGCTGGCTAGGTCATGTTGTCCGGATGGACGAAAACACTCCACGCAGTACCCGCCGGGGGAAGCAGAGGAAGAGGAGGACCTCCACTCCGTTGGAAGGACCAAGTGGAGAGGGACCTGGCTTCACTTGGAATATCTAATTGGCGCAGTTTGATAGTTCTCCYTTTTGATGGATTGGGCAGAGCACACTTAAATTCCAATCGTTGGGCATGCTTTCGTCCCATCAGATTTTACAAAAAAGATGCTCGGCCCGCAAACCATCCGCCGCCACCGCTTTGTTATTTTTCAGGCGGGTAATTGCTATTCAAATTTCTTCATGGTCGGACAATGGAACGTCTGCTCCATCGTCATCGAGTAGGAAATCACTAGATCCCCTCTGGTGGTTCTACAAGAGTATAATCTGGTCTTGAAACCTTCTGTTMGTCGGCGCATATTTTCCTAGAATTTTCAAGCATTACCTCTGTCGGCCAGCTCGTCAAGCTCTTTATATTCACACATTTCGGCCTCTCTCTTTTTTTGTCTGCAAATACATACGTCTCGCTTCCCTTTTCAGCTCTCGATTTCTATCCCATCCCACGCGGGTTGTGAGATGGGCAGTTTGTTTTCTCTTTGCTGCGACTCAGTACTTTTCATCGCACCAGCTGTTCTTTTGCAAGAGTCGCCAAATCTTACTCTGTTTAATATTGGCATATTAAGCGGTGAACCCTTTAGAGTTTGGATCTGGTGAGCTTTACTATTTTTGACTGCAGAGGTTTACGCTAAAACCATTGTGTCTTTTTCAAAAGACGAAAATAATTAGTATAAAATATTAAGGCTCTCAAATCGTAAACCATGTCGAATGCCAAATATTTGTATGTCGTTTTGATAATAGAAGAGCTCCGTTTAAGTTGGATCCGTCTCGAATATTTTCGTACTTCCATTGATTTAAACCGCCTTGGAGTCGGTTTTGAAATACGAAAACAGCAAGGAAATTAAATATTTTTTATCCATGACCATTTAATTTGAACGTTTTAGTTGTAGGTCCGGTTTTTTCTCACACCTTCAAGAGGTACTTTGTTAGGAGCACTTACTTATACTTACGGAATACCTAAAAAATTCAAATGCCTCAGCCCAGTAAGTAAGAGAAAAAGCTTCCCATTCCTTCATATTTTGGTGATTTATGACTATGAATAATATTGAAATCCCAACGTATTGAAAAAAAAAAAAAAACGAAAAACCAATAGTCGTCGAAGCTCTAAATCATTACCATTCCTTCGAGTTACACATACTGATTTCTTTTTCATTTCGAAAATTCATCCCAACGGTGTCATCTAAAATCAAACATCTGCCGCCCACCAACAGATGCACACAATTCAGAGCTAAGCATTCAACCTTTTTCGTTACTTTCYTTCAATACTTTTTTCAACTTTACCGGCTTCCTGCATGTCCTTGCCTTATCCTGGCGCAGCTGACTTCGTTGTCAGCATATGGTCATAAACAAACGCTGTCTATGTAGTTGTGACTAATACAAGCGCATTAGCTATGGAGGTATGTCGACGGAAGCAGCAAAGTGGGGCTGAAATTTGGCRTTTCACGCGCGCGGACTAACGGTTTCGCTCACTGGGTGGAGGTGTTGAAGAGCAGTGAACATATGTGGGGGCGTCTGTATTAACATTAGGACAGGCAGTCGGGAAAAACCAAACATTGCTTGCAAATCAGATGTCATTGGCATGCGTGACAAACGTTTTCTTGCTTCAACGCCGTTGTYACGCTGATAGTGGGAAGGAAGTTGTTTGTTTGCCAAGCAAAGTGTTTGCCGGAAATGTTTGCYTCAGAAGCGAATAAGAATTCGAGTCTTCTTGGTGAGCTGTAAGAAGAATAAAGGCGCTGAAACTTTTTTCAAAAAGGAAATAAAAAATGACTGTTCCGAAAAACGTCATTTTGAGAATGATCGTAGARGTGCTTTAATGCCAAACTTTTTACTTCAACCGTTAGTGAAATAATTAGATGAGGTCTGAATGATGTGCAGAAGATATCATCCGAAACGAAGTTCGGGAGGTTTGGCAAGAATGAAGAAACCTTCACCACTGACGTGAAAGATATGAGCACTAKTGCTCATATTCTCTGCTCCTCTAATCACTAAATATCTCAGTAAATACTTGAGGTCACATTTAAGAAATATTTGCAATTTGTGTAGGACATTTTAGTATCGGTTCAACTGGTTAACTTTTTTTTTTTTTTTTAATATTTTTTCGACTGTCAACGAGTTTCTTTCACACTTCTGCTCTACCAGCAAATATTTGATATTTTATTATCATTCAACGCCTAACAATTGTACTGTCAGAAGTTCAAGTATATGCGCCTAAATATATAYACCCACAAAGAAATAGTGGCAAACATGTCGCAGCTGCTCAAAAACAGCGCTTCGCCTCCACCTATTGTGTAACACGTAGATTTTAAAGGGCTTCTGTCATTTTTCTTTTCTTTGCGAACCTTTTTAGCAATTCTACAAAACTCTCTATGCTCTCTTACTTGGCTAGAGGTGGAACATGTGTAAGTGTCGACAATTTATTAGCTGTCATATAAATCTTAAACATTTTGGCTGCTTTTTAGGCGCACAAGTATTTATTTATTTTTATTTCCCTCCACTTTATGGGAGCTTTCAAAAGTTTATGCCGCTTTTTTGTGCTGAATATTTTTAAGTGCTGCGTGTATGAAACTCATTACTTTTCCTTGCGCTGACAGGTTATTTCGACAACTGAGATTTTGGCTTTCAATTTCATAATAATTGCTGATTCTCTCACATTCTTCCCCTCCATAAGTTGAACTGGAAACATATATGTACCCATAGCAATTACAGCATATGAATATCATCCTTTGCCTACCCTAAGGCGTTCTCTTAGTAGCTGTGGAGCATTATTTTTCCTATGCACTACTTCAAATTTTCAACTATTCCCCCTTCATATGTGCTAGTCATGTCAATGCGCACTAATTAGCTCATTAAAATTGTCGAAATCACTTTTACGTTTGTACTTTTGATGCACGAATACGTGCCTAATTGTAGTCAATTAATTGCGCTATTAACGGTATACTAAGCTGCGTTTCTGCCATATGCATTTTTGCATGCCAACTTGAGTTCTTTTTTTCAACGGTAAATGGATTTTGCAGCACAGAAATTTTGAAAGAGCTCAGGGTACCGATAATTTAATATCTGCTCCAAATCTTTTTAAGCATTGTAATATTATAATATCGTGCATAAATAAAAGTCTCTCTTCCAGTAGTCTTACATACAATCTGGTATGAACTATTTTCGTTGTCAAGAGGCTGATAAGCTGTGATATCATTATATAGTAAGTAGATGGTCAACGCGCGTAGAATCCCGCCTTTGAAACAGAAAATTAGAGGAAAATTATTTCAGTACACTTTTCGAGTGCCAGACATTAATATATATAAATACAGCCAATTTCGGAATGAATTATTTAAAGAAATTATAGCTGAATATTGTCAAATTCATTGGATGGATAAGCAAGATAGCTAACAACAAAGGGTGCCACATARTTGAAGAAACAGGAACCTTCACCTCAATATATATTCGATTGGATAAAYAAGTGAATACAAAGCAGATCTCTAMGYTGAGATTAGGGGTTTGGAACATAGGACTAAGTGAATGAGATTATATAATTATGTGACTTGAAAGTCTAATAGGTGGAAATAATTGAAGCTGTTCCAAAGATGGTAAAATTAGAAAAAAAGTAGGAGGGAACTAAAATAAAAAAACCGTTTACAAAAAATTGCATTCCATTCTTTACAATGGAATAAAGAACCTCATAAATTTACAACYGTAAACTGCATTTGCTGCTGACAGCTGTACCGAAGCCGAAGTGAGAAAAATTATGCTGCCAATGCGTTTGATAAACCGCACACACTGAACTKCGTTGCTAAACAGAA